CACGCACACGCACACGCACACGCACACGCACACGCACACACGCACACACGCACACACGCACACACGCACACACGCACACACGCACACACGCACACACCCAAGCAACCAACCAACCCACGCACCTACCCACCCACCGAACCCAACCCAACCCAACCCCAACCCAACCACACCAACAAGAGACATCTTTCTAAAACACACACCCAGCCCATGGATCACGCCAAATGCCCGTGTGCCTTCTGTGCCTGCGCGAGGTGCCACAGCAGCAGCGGCGCCCCCGGCTTCAGCCCCTGGGTCGCCGCAAACAGCACCTCTGGCGCCAGCAGCCTGCCGTGTACTGTATTCAGGTTAAACCGCGCTTCCCGCTTGGGCTGGGGACGGACAACTGAGCCAGCCAAAACCGAGAATTCAGCCTTAAGTTTACTAGAGAGAAGGTTGCCTATTCGGAGTGAAGGGCCCCTTGACACTTCCATGGGATTTATATTGAAGAGTGGACCAAAATGACGACATGGCGGGAAACGATTCCTTGCCAAATGGCCAAGCTGCCGGCCAGATCAACGACGACACACAACCATAACTCATTAGAGACAAGCTTGATGAAAGGATTGCGTAGCCACCTAGGAGAATCTAAAATTCTTACAATTGCAAGCCGCGACTCAGGAAAGTCACTTGCTGCCGGTCACGTTCACATACCCATTCCACCAACCTCCACCAAAACTTGTCCCGAGGACTCTGCGTTCGAACTGCGAAACTTGTGCCTGGATGCCTCAACAAGGCGCCACTATGCCAACGAACTCTTGAGCTGCATGTGTCAGCCGGTGACACTGCTTCGGTACTACTCAACATGTCAACAGTTTTAGCCATCTTGGCTTTGGACACCACGGAGGCTGAAGTGGATTAAGTATCAGTGGCCCCTGGGTTGCGATTGCGCATCAAATTGACGATTCAACTTTGGTGAAGTGTGCCTAGGAATGTCGACGTATCGATGTTGTCAAGTTCATCAATTTGTCGGGCATGAAGTGAAGCAAGGTTCGAAACACGCAAGGCATCTACAGAGTCTGAAGCCTTCTCTTGCTCAATGTGGATTCTTTACTGGCAAATCTAATACCAATGGCCCCCTTTCCAAGTGATTCAACTTGTACAACAGGCAGCCGGGGAAACGACCATCAAATTTGAAGGGACTCTGCTAGTTACTTCTGGTGACTGGGATCCACTGGGCATTCCTTGGCGCATCAGGCCTGCTTTGTTGAAGCTGCGCCAAGTCGTGGTGGTAGGTCATCTGGTTGTGATCCATGTACACCACATCAATCTAAGGCACTGCGAGTCGTCACCCCTTACCCAAAGGGCAATGGGGTTGAGAAACAAGTTGAAACACTGTATGAACTCACCTGTGTGCTGTTCCGTTGCTACCTCCTTTGTGCTGCGATTGTTCAACCTTGATCAACTTGATGTCACACCAATCCAGTGCCAAACGCCAGCTTCCGAATGATTCCATGATTTGAGTGAGGCTCTCAGTTTCCCAGTTTTGAGGCTTGAGGTGCCCATTCTGGCATGAAATGTTCAAGGATTGAGTCCCTGAGATCTGGGGTTCGATTTGAGATCTCCATGGCGAATGCTGTTGTCTCTGCCAGCAAAACCCCAACGGGTCCCCCCAAGGAGGCTTAGGCAAAAAGAGCACGCAGCTTCACGTCACTTAGCACCTCTCAGGCTTGACACTCGTGTTTGGTATGTCCCAAGTCCAAACTTCCTCTTGGTGGCTTGGATTGGAGGATTGGAGGTTGGGTGGCCGAGCCCGCGGCCTGCGGCCGTCGTTGGTAGTTGACGTTTGATGGTTTCCACCTCCAAAGAAAGTAACAAGGGCGCTGGAGGTCTCGGATTTGGTTGCCGTTGAGGGTCCCCCGCATCCAAACCACGGCCGGAGGTCTTTCATTGAAAAAGATGACTCGTCTTTTGTGTTGGGCCGAGGTGCAGATCCCGGTGTCAGCTCCTCGGAAAGCTGGTCCACCAAGTCTTCGCACTGGCCTGTGAAACGTCAGGGGAAGAGCCAAAAAACATTGTCCATCCTACCACATATGAGAATCACCAAAGGTCATCTTTAACATCACGGGTGCAGGATCAAAACTATATTTACGGGATCAAAAAGAATTATCGACACCCGGATCAAAAACAAATTATTTACAGGATCAAAACAAATTATCTCGCCTGGGGGTGCCAAAACGCAGTAATTTACATCATTTTCGGGCAACAGCGCGCGCATTTTACGGCTCCAGCTGAAAAATAGACACTTTCCAATACAAGCGCAGTACGCGAAGGTCACTTTGGCAGCTCCAGTTCGAAAATCACAATTTCTCAGATACAAGCGCAGTTCTATCAACGAATCTAGCATCGGTTAAATGCCTGTAGGGTTGGGTTTCGGGTGGGTTTGGGTTGGCTTAGGTTGGTTTAGGGTTGGCTTAAGATTGGTTTAGGGTGGGTGTAGGTTTGGCTTAGGGTCTATTTAGGGTGGGTTTAGGGTGGGTTTAGGGTGGGTTCAGGCTTGGTTTAGGGACGGTTTAGGGTTTGTTTACGGTGGGGGTGGATTTAGGTTGGTTTAGGGTAGGTTTAGGTTGGGTTTAGGGTTGGTTTAGGGTGGGTTTAGGGTGGGTTTAGGGTTCGTTTGCGGGTTTAGGGTGGGTTTCAGGTTGGTTTAGGGTGGGTTTAGGGGTGGTTTAGGGTTGGCTTGGGGTTGGTTTAGGGCTGGGTTACGGGATGGTTTAGGCTAAGTTTACGGTGGTTTGGGGTAAGTTTGGGGTAGGGTTAGGGCAGGTTTAGGGTTGGTTTAGGGTTGGTTTAGGCTGGGTTTAGGGTTGGCTTAAGGTTGTGTAGGGTTGGTTTCAAGGTTGGTTTAGGGCTAATTTTGGTTGGGTTTCGGGTTGGCTTCGGTTTAGGTTTTGTTTAGGGTCTGTTTAGGGTGGGTTTAGGGTGGGTTTAGGGAGGGTTTAGGGTTTGTTTACGGTGGGTCTCAATAATTTGTTTTTGATCCCCTAAATATTTTTTTGTTGATCCCCAAAATAATGGTTTTTGATGCTCATCCCTAAAATCACTCCTTCGGGTAACATGTGAACTGCTCCCTTTTGGCTTTTGGTTTCCTTTAGGGACACAGTATATGGTTTATGGTTGCTAGTTCTCTCCCAGTGGCCAATGCGCACGTCGATCGCGTGGCTGAGCCCGGCAAACTCGATGAAGTTCATGGCCTGAAGGAAGACGAAAGCTGTCAGCTGGTCGACAACCCAAGTTGGTCTTCAAATGGGGGGATGCAAACAACGGGAGCAGCGCCCCAACACACATTTATCTTTGCGTCTACTAATGTGGGTTGGACACTGCTTACGGGTACTGTTCAATTGGTTACACCACTGAAAGGGTACCCTCAAGAAAAAACGCCTTTGAGAAGACGAAATCTGGGTCAAATAAAAATCGGGACTCCTCTGGTGATAGATTTCTGTAGGCACCTTCCAACAGTTTTAACAGATGTGGACGAACCAGAAAACGTTTGCCTGCGAAGAGCCAAGGAATGCAAACATGAAGACAGGACCTCACCCGCATCTATCGGCACACTTTCAGACGCTTCCCCAGCTCATCCAAACTTCCGCGTCTTGCTCAGCGGCTTTCCATGCGAAAAAAGGTTGACTGCAAGAGGCACCCTCAGCAAAGGCTTTGAAAGGCATCTTGTTGGCCCCTTTGGCCTACGGGACCGAAAGAAGACGAAGGAGGGCACATGAGGGGTGCGGCCACTGCTTCCGCCCCTGCCGGTCCACCCTGAAAGCTGGCCCGCACGCTGGCTTTTGTTGCTTGACCTTTCTAGGGCACTCCTGAAAGGAAAAAGTAGAGAAAATCGAGACTTCCCGCTGGTTGCTGTGTTGAAACAAGCTGCCGTTGGTTCCTCTGCAAAGGCGCTCAAACAAATTTGGCCTTTCCTTCTGGTGTTCTTCTTGTTGGCTCCCCTTTGGCGAGGGCCGAATCGGGTAGCACGGTGTTGTTCGATACTGAGCCAAATTGGGCGGGGTGGGGTGGGGTTGGGGTTAGGTTGGGTCGTAAACACGGGGCGAAAAGGTGTATTTCCTTTCAAGTGTTCATGGAACTAAATCAGGGGTTTTTCAAAAGAAGACTCCTCCAAAAGGCTAGGGAAGTTCGTTGACCTCCCAATTTGAGTTGTTTCAACAAACCTTCTGGGCTCTTTTCTTGCTTTCTTCTCCTTTCAAGGCATCTCAAACAAATTGGTTCTTTCCTTTGTTGCTTCCCTTTCTTTGCCATTCCCGGTGTTTCAACAAATCCGTTCTTTCCTTTGGCCCCCCTCTTCCTCGCCGCTCGCCCGGCCGAGGTGCCAGGCAGGCCACCTCCGGATCCATCTCCAGCGTCACCACCCGGGAGTTGGGCAAACTCCGGGCCAACTTCACCGCGGAGTAGCCCAGGAAGGTGCCTCCAGTGGGCTCAGAGTGGTCCAGGCAAGTCCATCGCCCACTGAAGCAAAAGCCGGGCGAGTCCCCTCCACCCCCCCGCCGAACCGCAGGTTGCGGCACATTTAAGTTCCTTTCAAGTCACAAAAAGGTGGCGTCCCAAGAAGAAGGCATCCCTATGGCTTTGTCTCATCAACACAAAACGAAAGGCCCCTCTGGTAGCTTCCCCTAGACCAAGAGAAGGCCTTGCCCTTTGATGGTCTTGACTTGTTTGAAGTGAAGGGCCCAGAGGGGACCTTTCAAACACAACTTGCAAGCTCGTCCCCCAATACCATTACGTTCAGCTGATTCTGAAGGAGGTCTTTTCAAAGAAACTACGAATGCTTTCTTGATTCTAAAGGGCCCACCGCTTCTCCTAAGCTCCCGCGATCAGCTCAAAGAAGCTCACCAAGTATCTCGGCCTTTCCACAAGCGGTTTTTCTACGCCCCGCCCTTGATGAGTGTGTCTGTCCTCAAAAGAAGTCTTTTTGGGATTGTTTCAACTGAAACCAAAAGGGAAAACAAAAGGGAAACCAAAAAGCAAAACAATGGGGACGCCACAATGAACCCACAGGTATCATTCGTGTTCAATCACCCAAGAGCAAATATCGCTCTTCACCCCTCCCCTTGCGACTGGGGTGCCGAACTCCAGGGCAGTCGCCTTCGGCGCCTGCGACATGGCTGTCTTGTTTTGAGGGCACACGTTCTTTTTTTGTGGTCGTAAAGGGAAGCTAAAAGGAAAACCAAGAAGAACACCAACAATTTGTGGGTCTCCTAAAAAAAAGAAACACTCAAATGGTACCACGCTAAGAACAACATGGAACCCTGAAGCTTTTGGACTGAAACCAGGGTGGGCACACCATCTCGCGAAACCGATAAGCGCAACACCCCCCAAATTGCCAAAGCAGTATTCTTCATTTAACCCTTTGCTGGAGTGTACTCTCTCCAACCGTATTTCTCTACAGTTACATGTGGCCAATCAATTGACAAGTCTTTCTATTTGCACAGATCATCTCCGAGTAACTTCCATCTAGTTCGTTCAATTGGCAGAATCCCAGACCCCATTTCTTTCGGCCCTTCATCAATCTCAGCATATGTTTGTTTCCTGGCAAGCACCTGTTGACCGGCCAAGCACATTTCTATTCAATCAAATCCAAACATTGAATCTAGGTGGTGAGTTAGGATATTCCAGTGACCCCAAGCAAAGGTTCCAACATGAAAGGAACGGGACCACGCGGCCCCAGCTGACAACACCGCTTGTGCGCGGTCAAGTGTAGCACCCTGCTGCTTGGTGACCATCAAAATGTCGATAACCCTTCAGATTGCGAGCAATGGAATTCCAGCCAATTCGGGTCTGTCTCAGAACGGGAGAACTCGCAAAATTGTTGGTTTCCTTTGGTTTTTCCTTTAATAGCGAACCAAAGGGCGTTCCCGCCACATACATAACGCCCATCTTCGCAGTTTCCATTTGCCACTGTCATAATCAAGGCAGACCGACAATCAACAACTCAAAGGTGGAAAGTCCAGTGGATAATTACCTACGATTCAGAATGTAAGAGTGTCTCCGAAAATAAGGGGTTGGTTTTCCTTTGGTTTTTGCATTTCAAACTGCAAACCAAAGAAGGGCCCTCCCCCCCCCCCCCCCGCAAGAAAAAACACAAACAAACTCATGTGGCTGCCGACTCAAAAGGGGAACACTTAGCTGGCAGCTCGGCTGGCTGGCCTTCACGCTTCGCCAAGCTTCCTCAAGGACCTTGCCTCGGCTTTCTATTTGCAAGGCGATGGCAACACACGCCACAGGACAACGGAACATGGGAGGCTTGCCGATGCCCACAAAACCACGTTCTTGGCTAACTTCCTGCACTGCTTGTTGTTGGATTCTTAAAGCCCGCAACAGGACGAGCTAACACAAAGTGAGCCTTTGTTGGTTGGAATGATTTCCACAAAGTGTGGCAGCATGGTGACTCCAAGAACGGGTCTGTGGCCCCAAAAGGGTTCGTTTTACTAAACCCTGGCAAAGTACTGACCAGTTTGGCGGGTCCTTTTGCAACCTGTTGGGGAGAAGTATAGTATGGAAAACCTTCGAGAGGAGGCACCCTCATTTTCAGGAGGAGGGGAGTCCCATTTGATCTCTCCACGTCAAAAAGACACCCTTTTAAACAACTGGGTCAATATGACCCAGTGCTTCCAGTTACCACGATAGTAAGTAACCAGGGAAACACCTTAACGTAAAAACAACGGGTTATCCACCATAACGGCAGCTGGAAGCAATGCGGAAAACGGCACCCTGTTTTTGGGGGTAGTTGAATTTTAAAGGGACTCCCTCCCCCCTCCCCCCCCAAAAAAACAAAACGGAGAAAAGAAACAAGAACAGCAAGAACAAGGGCCACCGCTGAACCTGTTTCGGACGCTTCGCTTTCGATCCGTTCGACCGCCGAGGTGCCCTTCTCGTCCGCTGCCCCGAACTTCAGCCAGGCCCTTGGGGAGCTCTGGGAGAAGCGCTCCAGCGCCTTCAGGGCCGAGGTGGCGTCCCCCGGCTGCCTCGGGGCTCCGTGTGTGTGCTGCCCGCAGGTAGAAGGGCGTGATTGACATGGAACCCACAAAACCCGTTACTTAGATGAAACTCCATTTGTGGGACCCTTTTTTGAAAGTTCATGTTTATATATGCTGAACCCAGGCATTCAATCACCCCTGGGTTGAAGTGTAACTGGTTGGGACAGTGCTTGAAAGGAAGCCATTATTCCTTGAAGAGGTACAGTATCTGGTTTGTCTTAACATCAGAGCCCAGCAATTCAAATGGAATGAGCCCTATCATTCTTTCTGGCTTGGTTTCCCTGCCAACGACTGTATCGGCAACACAAAGCCTTCCCAGATTGCTAGGAGGTGCTTTCTTGCGCAAGCTGTGGAGGCGCACAACTCTAGGCAAAGCACGCACGACTCTTTCGCATGCTACGTGCAATTGATGGGCTCTCCTTGAAATGGCCACGCAAGGGTTTTGTCCAAAAACCCGGGGGGGGGGGGGGCAGAGATGGACTGTTAGGAACTTGCGACACGGGGGGGGCAGGGCAGGGCATGCGTCTGACGAGTCTACGCACTGCTCAAAACCCTTCCCATCAAGGGGCGCTCTGGAGAGAGCAGAGTAGAGCGCCCGCACATACTTGTGAGATCCCCGTCCGGCCTGGCGCTTTGGACAAAACCAGGTGGATCAAGCAGCAAGCCGCCATACTGTGGATGGTCGCGAAATTTCATCTCGCACCACCTTTCAGAAACCCTGGTTTCTGATGATTTTGCCGTAAATACCAACAAACAATGGTTTTCTGCATGGTTTCAAAGTGGTGCAGGATTTCGTCCATCCACAGTAGTAGGCAACAAAGTGCTTCTCTGAGATTGTTGAATGGATTCCTTGGTTGTCTACTACGGAGGTTTCTGGAAGCACTGGGCATACCCAGTTGCTTGCAAACAGGTGCTGTCACCTTTCAATGTCCGGCATTGAGTTCTCCTCTTTGGGAAGAACAGCACAAACTTTGTGCGAGGGCATTTTGCAGAATTATGTCCAGTAATCATGCTAATTAAACAACAAGATGGCTGCATTGGCGGTAGATAGACCTACTTCAGGTAGAAGTCCCCTTCTGAAAGAACACCGAGCGCTATTGCTTCAACCCCTGCTTGATTTCCCTTAAACAAAGGGTAGTGGCTCGTTGTTTAATCGCGCTTTGCCCAACCCAAAGGACACAATGGAAGGTTGATATTTTTGGTCACCAAGCTGTCTCCTTCGATTTGTCTGGAAGCGTAGCAGTTGTCGTTGCATTGAAATGGCAAGCAAGCAAGCAAGCAAGCAAGCAAGCAAGCAAGCAAGCAAGCAAGCAAGCAAGCAAGCAAGCAAGCAAGCAAGCAAGCAAGCAAGAACAAGCAAGCAAGAACAAGCAAGCAAGCAAGCACAAGCAAGCACAAGCAAGCAAGCAAGAACAAGCAAGCAAGAACAAGCAAGCAAGAACAAGCAAGCAAGAACAAGCAAAGAACAAGCAAGCAAGAACAAGCAAGCAAGAACAAGCAAGCAAGAACAAGCAAGCAAGAACAAGCAAGCGAGCAAGAACAACCAAGCAAGAACAAGCAAGCTAGAACAAGCAAGCAAGAACAAGCAAGCAAGCAAGAACAAGCAAGCAAGAACAAGCAAGCCAGCCAGCCAGCCAGCCAGCCAGCCAGCAAGCAAGCAAGCAAGCACAAGCAAGCAAGCAAGCAAGCAAGAACAAGCAAGCAAGAACAAGCAAGCAAGAACAAGCAAGCAAGAACAAGCAAGCAAGAACAAGCAAGCACGAACAAGCAAGCAAGAACAAGCAAGCAAGCAAGCAAGCAAGCAAGCAAGCAAGCAAGCAAGCAAGCAAGCAAGCAAGCAAGCAAGCAAGCAAGAACAAGCAAGCAAGAAGCAAGAACAAGCAAGCAACAAGCAAGCAAGCAAGAACAAGCAAGCAAGAACAAGCAAGCTAGAACAAGCAAGCAAGAACAAGCAAGCAAGAACAAGCAAGCAAGAACAAGCAAGCAAGAACAAGCAAGCGAGCAAGAACAACCAAGCAAGAACAAGCAAGCTAGAACAAGCAAGCAAGAACAAGCAAGCAAGCAAGAACAAGCAAGCAAGAACAAGCAAGCCAGCCAGCCAGCCAGCCAGCCAGCCAGCAAGCAAGCAAGCAAGCACAAGCAAGCAAGCAAGCAAGCAAGAACAAGCAAGCAAGAACAAGCAAGCAAGAACAAGCAAGCAAGAACAAGCAAGCAAGAACAAGCAAGCACGAACAAGCAAGCAAGAACAAGCAAGCAAGCAAGCAAGCAAGCAAGCAAGCAAGCAAGCAAGCAAGCAAGCAAGCAAGCAAGCAAGCAAGCAAGCAAGCAAGCAAGCAAGCAAGCAAGAACAAGCAAGCAAGCAAGCAAGCAAGAAAGAACAAGCAAGCAAGAACAAGCAAGCAAGAACAAGCAAGCAAGAACAAGCAAGCAAGAACAAGCAAGCAAGAACAAGCAAGCAAGAACAAGCAAGCAAGCAAGCAAGCAACTTGGCGTTGTTTAGCGGTTGCGTGGTTGAGTTGGGTGGGACTGCAGGGTCGGGCGGGTTTAGCGGGTCCGGGTGCGTGGTTGTTGGGTAGGGCACTTCTGCAAGGTCGGGCGGGTAGAATTACTACACTTGGCTCGAAGTCACATGCCACAAACCCTTCATATCTTGGTCAATTTGTCATTGACAGCCAGCGCCATGAGCCGGACGCGCATCGATGCTTTGGAGCTTCAAGTGGAAGAGTTCGCGCAAGCCCTGGCAGAGCTTCGGGTCTCGGAAGAGAATCGGCTGCGTGAGTTTAGAAAGCGCGGCCCAATCGCACTGATTGGCGCCTTCCTGTTAGGTTTCATTTACGCCCGGCTCAGCTATAAATTGGGACTCTTCCGGCGCCTCGCGTGATCTGATTATTCGTCTCTTGGTCAAGGGCCGTGGCCTTAGAGGCGACTGTCATCAGTTTCACGTCAGTGGCCCTGGCCTGCGGGTCTTGCATGCGGGCGATGGCGTGGCTGCTGCGCTGCCTGCGGGCAATTCTTGTTTTTGGCCTGCGGGTCGTGGCCTGAGACCCGTGGCCTGCGGGTCGACTTTGCGCGCTTGCGAGCAGATTCTGGCTGACTCCCTCTGCGGCGCAGCTCTTCGCAGCTTGCGCGCGATATTACTGTCGCACGCTTGCTTCAAAACAGCAATCCGCTCAGCTTCAGGGTCTTAGCGGCTCAGCCAGATGCCTGCTGCACGTTTGCTTTTAGGTCTCTTGCATGTTGCGGCTTGCGGGAAGAGCCGCTGCAGACTGTGCTCGTGGCACAGGATGTGCTCCTCGGGCATGAAGCCTAAGTGGCTTCATCTCAGTATGCGTGACAGTCATCAGTCAGCTGAAGCCCGACGGTTTAATTCGGCACTTATTTGCTTGACCTTTGCATTTCAATGGCCCGCGGGTCGTGCCTGCGGGCAGCGGTTCGTTGCAGCCTGCGGGCTTTACATGCTTGCGGGCAGCTGGCCTGCGGGCCTTGTCGCCTGCGGGCGAGGGCTTATTCGTCGATTCGCTCGGACTCAGGGCATCTTTTCGTCACGGGAAATGGCAGAGTACCGCAGGATTTGTGTATAGACGATGCTTTCTGTGCAAAGACTTGTCTTTTCTGCAGCCATTTGCAAGCCCCAAGCCACGCGTGACAAGCAGACAGGATCTGAATCGAAGGCAAGGCAGCCAACCAACACAACCGTCATGATGCTAATTCATTTTATCTTCAAAAACAAATGCAACGAATAAGACTTGTCACTCGAGGACATGTCAATTCCGTAGCTTTGTCAGGCCTAGCCTGGCCAGTTAGCCCTCAATGGTTGCCGCGGATGCTTCAAAGAAGCACTTGCCAAAGCTTGTGCCATCGGCTCTCGTCAAGCAACACGCCGCGGCTTGCAAGAAAAGCCGCTGTAGACTGTGCTCATGGCACAGGGTCAGCAAATCAGAAGTGAAACCTAAGTGGCTTCACCTCGCAATGCATGGCCAGCGAGGTGTCGCAGCTGGGTGCGTTGTCTGCGCGCAGGCGTCTCTGGGCGGCCCGTGGGCAGTGTTCCAGCAAAACCCATGTAAGTTGCCACCCTATGTTCTGAATCGGCACGAGGCTTCCAGTGCTCACCAAGCCGCCGCGCAACATTGCGCTGGGAAAGAGGCCATCACGATGGCGCCCCCTTCCGCTGAGTTTCAAGAAGTTCTGACTAACATGAGGCAAGGCGGGAGTGCGCGGCAAGGAGGAGTAAGCTCAGACCGCAAGTTGAGGTTTGCTGTGAGCGAAGCTATCCTGCGAAGGGCGCGACAGCAGCTGGCTCGGGCTCGCTGCGTGGCCCTATTCCGCGACGAGCGAAAGGGGCGGCTGCTGGTGCGATACCGCGCTTGAAGATGATTTTGGAAGAGTTCGCCACCCCTTTTCATGGCCTCCCGCGGAGTTGCTGCGCGCCAGAGGACCAGGACTCAGGCGACCAAAAGCCGAGGGCAGTGCAAGACACACTGCGGGAGAAGGTCAGCATTCTGGTCTCGGACGCGGCTGCCAGCGTGCTTCTTTCAGGTGAGATGCTGAGGGGGCGACGCGTGGAAGCCAAGTCTGGCGCGGCCACTGCTGACTTCCCCAATGTGCGGGTCGTCGGGAGGGACGCCGCCCACGCATCCACGCGTTTGCTCCGGCGACCGCTGTGTCATCATGATGTCCTCAAGACCGTGGTCGCTGAGTTTGTCACTGGTTGTGACAGCTTTGCTCAGAAGGTGTTCCACTCAAACATCTTCTCCGGCTGGTGGCGCACGGCTCTAGCCCGTGAGGAAGACGACTCCGAGTCTGAGTTTCGCACAGGAAACAGCATGGCGGCTGCCAAGCACAGGTTCGGCTCCTACGCTTTGCCCATGGGGCGCATCTGTCGCAATGTCGCGGCTATGCTGGCAGTTCTTCACAGGGTTGATGCAATGCGCGGTGACAAGTCTGGCTGGGCATCGCAGACGCTGAAGCATCTCACTGGCAAGAAACTGCTTTTACTGGCCATGGCAGCAGACGCTGCGCATTGCTGTCTGGACTTCACCCGGCTTGCGGATCAGGAGGGGGTAGACATCGCGTGCCTCAACGCGAAAGTGGCTCAGCTTGGTCGCAGCGTCAGGGCGCTTTTTGTCAATGGAGAAGTTCTGCGCTTACCAACTTTCACGATGGACATGCTTGCCATTCTTGAGAAAGGCGAACTCACTGTCATGGCAGACGGGTGCGCCAGGGAGCTCGCAGTTATCGAGCACGACAAGCAATACGCTTTGAAAGTCATGTGCGAGTGGGTGGAGACAGTAGAAGCGGCTGCGGAAGCCGAGTTTCCAAGCTGGCATTTGATTTCGTGCTTTGCCGTTTTCAACCTTGAGGCGCGAAGGGCGGAGGACCAGGAGGACAGAGACTCTGTGAAGAAGTGCTTGCAAAAGTTGTCCCAGGCATTCAAGGTGAAGCCTGCCCTGCTCGAACAACAGTCTGTGAGCCTGCTCCCGTTGGCTGAAGCTTTGCACAAGGAAGGCTCTTTCCAGAACCGGGCTGCTTGGGTGGAAGCTTTCGCTCGTGTGCAACAGCGTAGGGCTGCTCAGCGTCAAGACTGCGAGGCTCTTCTGCCAGTTCTTTCCGCATACTTGGCGTGGT